TATATATATATATATATATATATATATATATATATATATATATATATATATATACTATTTGATACCCATTGTAGTACGAGGTTATTTTGCATTGCTTTCGATATGATAGCTTGGTATTGATGTTAATGCGAGATTATTTTGTACTACTTATTAAAGTGTTTTTTTGAGTGAATCTAAGTGTGCCTGTTTTTTTGTTCCTTCGAGAGCCTTATATGCCTCTCTCATCCATTTTTTATATATATGTCATTTTATAAATGAAGATCATTAAAAACAGAAATGCAAGGCAAGAATCAGAGTGGCACTTTGCTTCTCCAAGAATTTTAAAAAATATGTGTTTCTTGATTAAAAGTGAGCAAACTGTACATGTGATCTACCTGAGCAGATGACTCCAGCATCCCAGGAATGACTACAGGACTGAACTCCCCGTTCTGTGTGCTGACAATCCTTCAGTGCCGTCTCTGATCCATTACAGGCCATGTCGCTCATCCAGATGCTCCCTGTTCCTGCTCCAAATTGAGCACGCCATGGTGCAGCTACAGCATCTCCACAGAACATCTGTCTACACACCACTGCAGCATCCTTCATATCCCAGCCATAACCACACACTGTGGCCCACTGTCCTTCATGAAGAACCTCCACTCTCCCAGCACAGGGACTATAACCATTCACCAGCCTCACGTCACTGTCTGGAAGCACAGCACAGTTCATCATAGTGAAGACTTTTTATGTGTGATTACAAGGCAGAACTATTTTTATTAAATTGGTAAGAACATACAGTATATATATACTCATATCCTCGTGTGTATATGTACACACACACACATACTCACATATACTTAGGGTGGACCATAGGCCTATGACAAAAAAAGAACCTCTCCTTTTGTGACCTCATATGATTAAAATTTTGAGCCAAAAATAAGTAGTTTAGACAAATGTTAACAGTAGGATGCGCCAGTCCCATATTCAGTATTGGTTTCGATCTGATTCTGCCCTAAATTACTGAATCGGATACGGGGGGATAAAAAAATATAATATGATCCATTAAAAATCACGAAAATGATTGACAAAACTTGCGATATGCTGTAAGCAGATGCATCATCTCACACAAGAGCAGTGTGCATCATGTAAGAATTTCTGTTTGTATGAGACCTCTTGGCATGTCAGCCGACAGTTACTTCAGACTGCGAAATCGAACTTGTGCACTTGAAGTGTTTCGTGAAGTGGTAGCAGCGTTGGAAACTTTAACACCACGATCATAATTAAACAATGCTGCTAAAAGTGATAAGGTTTAAATAAAAAGAAGTAGCACTGCAATCATGTCTGTCTGGGTAAAATTGATCACTATAAGTGGATATCTAAGAAGCAGAAACCTCATTCAAAAGGTAAATCTGTGAGGGCTTTCTGCTGCTGTGGAGCTGCTGACAACATACTAAGTAAAATTGTTCCAAAGTGTCAGTTTGTCTCGAACAGCCAGACATAATAAGTTTAGCTATTTCTAGTTTTTTCAGATACAATCAGGATGTGTGCTTGTCAGGGGTTATAAAAATGACATGACTTGAATATATGTTATTTTCTTATTAATTCGAGTAGCACAATGATACAGTTAGTATGTTGCCTCCTGCCTCTGGGACCTGGGTTCAAGTCTCCCCCATGGCTGCATGTGTGTGGAATTTGCCTGTTTTCCCCATGTCGTTCTGGGGTTTCCTTGGGGTTTCCCCCCACAGTCCAAAAACATGCTGAGGCTAATTGGAGTAACCAAATTGCCTTAGGTGTGCATGTGTGTGAGTGTGCCCTGCGATGGGTTGGTGCCCCATCCTGGGTTGTTCCCTGCCTTGTGCCTAATTCCTCTGGACCCCGTACAACCCTAAATAGTTCAAGTGGTTTCAGAGGATAGATGGATGCTTGCTGATTTATAGTTGACTCGGTTACTTAACCCTTAGAACACGTCAAAGCAAAATGCGTTGATTTTCACACCCATTAACCTCAGGCTCGTAACTTTGGATAGGTATAAAGCAGAGACAGGAATCACATATTTTTGCTATTGAGAGTACTTGTGCAGGATGTGTTTTCCATGAAACAACCCAGGTTAGCATGCCATGTAATTGGCAACAGTTTTAACAACAATTAATGACCCAATTAATGACAATTAATGAAATTTGTCCCAGATCATCACAAGATTTTATTGTCAAAATATAAAGACTGAAAATGCATACAAGTAAACCAAAAGAAACAGTTTTAAAAATTTTTTAAGATTATATTTAGCATAACACTGTCATATCAGCCAGATAATTCATTCGATGCAAACACATATAGACTTCATTCTCAGATTGCTCAAAGCGCTGCCAAAACCCATTAGGGGCCTCTCTGTTTTAGAAAAAGGTTTGAAGACTTGAAACACGTTCCAGCACTTTATGGGGAACACCCAAAAGCTTCATTAGACGATTACTACCAAAGTGCGTTGGTCATGGGTAGTTAAAAAATGCATGGCTTGAAGTGTTGTGTTATAGCAGGGCATGTCGAAAGGAGGAGCGGCTCCAAGAAAAGAGGTTTAAGAACAAAACAAACAGAATGTGAGGTACCGCAAATAACGGACCATAAGGGGTCAAAACCAAACTGATGAAACAGAAATTAAGTCAGGGAGCAACACCTGAGGGCTAACAACAGTAGGAGAGACTAGGAACACCACAGAATATGAATAACCAAGGCACAGGCAGGATAGACAGGGACACAAAGCAAAACACAGAAACGCATTACCAAATGCTAGGGGAAAATACACTAATAAATTAAAGCAATGATGAAGCTGGTCCCAGGCCAGCCAAGAACTTATGACTGAAGGGATACCTACAACTAAGCCACACAGTCAGGCCATAAAGCTACACAGCAGCCCAGGGAGCATGGAAACACACTCGGGGAACACGAAATGGGATGGCCAGTGGAACTGCTAGCCAAATGGGGAAAATGCACACAGGACAGGGCCAGACAGGCATTGACCCTGAGAGTTTTGAAGATTATTTTTGGACCAGAGGTTAGGAAGCCCTGTAATAACCATCTTAAAGTACAATGAAGCTTCAAGCATATCATAGAATCAATTACTTCATGCTCTACTTGAAAAATATGCATATTTTAAGTTTACTTTTGAATTATGGCTTTTAAAAAAATGTAAATTAGCTATAGCTAAATAGAAATTATTTATCTGCTTTAATTCCTATAAATGTACCTCCATCCAGACATTCTAGTAACATACAAATTCTTCTTATGTTCTTATGTTCTTCATATTTTATTCAGTGGAGTATTTCGTTGTACTTTCATTAAATTCAGTCATAAAACAAAATTAAACCTAAATGTCCTGGAAACAATCCTAACAATTTAAATTTGACAAATAATATATAGTTTTAATATGTAGAAATGCAACTTGCATGTTTCACAATGCCATTTTTCACAAAGTAACACGATACTCAGTGCTCCTAATAATCACAATGAATTCATATACACAAATTTTACATACATCTGTTTTGACCTTTGCAGTGCCTTTATATTAGATTCAACTTTAAAGATGCACCATGGAAAACGTTGTTTTTGGTGCAAATGTAAAATATTGACTTGATCTTATTGATTGCGCCTATAATACAATAGACTCAATGTGATAATCAGTGTATTGTATTTCTGGATTTTCTAAACAGAGTCTAATGACAGATTTACTAATGATTTATGAAATTCAATAGACCTGTAGGATTAATAGAATAGAATAGAATAGAATAGAACAGAATAGAACAGAATAGAACAGAGAAAAACTAAATAGCTGCCAAAACTCAAAGAGCGCTGGGCCACTGTGTGTGAGCGCCCTGGTATCTTGCCTTTACATATTATAATATACATTAAAATAAATGACATGTATATGTAATGCAAAGCAATTAATGTTTCAAATAATATTTTAAGGATGTTACAATTTATACTTTAATAGAAGTATTTAAACCTGAATATAGTTCAGAGACTTAAAAAAGTTACATCTGACACTGATTATGATGTTGTATTACCATTTGTGTTAAATCCAGCTGCTCTGCAACTTTTTACATAATTAGGGCCAGAGTACTGGATACCATTCAGTTATTGTTGTTTTTAACACGTAGCACAGACCCTGACATGGAATAAACCACAAATATTTCAGATCCCTGACCTCTGCTGGCTGAGAGTGGACCACTGGAGCAGAGGAAGATCATGGTACTTACTGGCTGTGGTGAGCAGAAGCAGGCATGAGAGAGGGAGGATGAACAGGCAGATCTCCATCTTCATCAGGACAAACCAGCTCTCCCCAGAGCTGAGACCCCAACCTTTACCTCTGAGCTCTCAGTGAGGGTCTTTATACCATCCTGCCCCTCAGAGTGAACACGCCCCCACCCACCAATCACACTCAGCGCTGCCTTATCAGAGGAACTACAGGAAAACATCAAACAGGCCCAGTGACAAATCACAGGGCTCTAAGCTCATTTTCTCCAAATATACACAAAAGGTAGGGGTGATGTGAGTCGGGACTCCTCCTCTCAGCAGTAAACTCTGCCCAGATGATAAAATCAAGCAGAATCAGCGGGACCTCAACAGACTCCTAGGAACCAGTAATTTTACTGACACTTTGCCACATTTATTAACAATACAAATATTTTTACTTTACCACTATGCAAGGTAGGCAACCACCAGGGGCCCCCAAAAACTAGGGGCCAGGGGCCTCATCAAGACAGAATTTCCAGAAGTTACATTTAGGGATGTAACCTAATATGACCATAAAGATTATAGCAACATCTCTGTTGTTCGCATTTTTAGTGACAATGTTGCCCCCCCAGCCCGACTATTCTACTTTGACACTTTGCACTACCTTTCAATCACTGGAGTCTACCAGTTTCACTACCAAACGAACCATCACAAAGTAGCCTAACAGAAGAAGAAAATAGTGCAAACATTACATTTCCTGTGACTTAAATCCTATAACACTAGAGTGGTAGACAAATTATGAACAGACATGGAGAGAACACAAATGAGTGTAGGCAAAAATTCAAGACTAACCATAGCAATAAAGGGAACAGTTTTAACTTCTTAAATTTGGCTGATCAGTCGGCTGGCACAATACCCCCCTCTCCCTGATCGGCAAATTTTACAGTAATCCCACTCCCACCCTGATCAGTACCCCGTGCTTTGATCAGCATATTATTGGTGTTCCATTGTTTTTCATCTCCTCTACTTTCCCTTTCCCCAAAATATTGCCCATTTAGGGCCCCCTACCCATGTCAGTCTAGGACCCCCAGAGAAGTTAGTTTGCTCAGTGGGCAGCAATGCAGTCTCATACAGTACCTTCAAGGTTGGAGGTCCAACACTAAACCCCCCCCCCCCCCAAGTTTATGTGTGCGTGGAGTTTGCATATTCTCACTGTGTCTGTTTGGGTTTCCCCAGTTTCCAACCTCAGTCCAAAAACATGCAGTTAGGTGAACTGGTGACACTTCACTCTAATATCCGTGTATGAATGAGTGATTAGTGTGTGAGTGAATGTGTAGATATGAGTGCCATCAATCCTTCCAACAACTTCGGGGGAGTGTTACTGCAATTTTAAGCAGTCTTGCACTCAAATTCAAAAAAGCAGAATTTATGTCTATTTAATTCTTCATGAATAATAATCCAACAATATGACCTTTAATGGATAATGCTCATTTTAAAAAACCCAAACA